CGCGAACCCGGGTCTCCGGCATCACGCAACACCTTGCCGGCTGAGCTAAGGGAGACCTCCACCAGCCCGGCTGGCTGAGATCCCTGTTATACGCAGGGGTGTATTCGCTACACTCGTATCCGGCAGCTGAAGGCCTCTGCTTTCTTGACTTCAGACTACATTCCTTTGACTTTGACTTTTCTACGTAGTTTACACACCATCAACTGGTTATTTATGGACTAACCACAGTCTGGCTGGATGACAAAATTCCACAAGGCAACTCATGGAAGCTCAGCTAATCTTAAAAATAGTGCTCTGTATTTTTCAGTTATCAGTCTGAGTCTTTTCTCTTGTTATAAACTAGTTAGATACAATATACTGTCCAAAGTTGTTAGATTTCCAGTTATTATTACACTAAAACATAATTTGATTTATGATTTCCACTAATGGAGCAGCAGGACCCCTCTGTTATCTCTTGAGATAAAAATAACTCATTCGGTTGAGTACTCTACATTCGTATTTTCATAGTACTCTTTTCTGGCCAAGCAAACACCAAAAACGTGTTCAGCAGAGATTAAGAGTCAGTAGGACAATGTCATGTGCCTTTCGGTCAGTGCCTTTCTATCATAATGGATTCTGTATCCTGAGAATAAGGCAGGACCAATTGCAACGTTTACTCATTTCAACTGACAAATCCTTTGCTTTGCAAATATGTGTATTGTTTTCCAGGTGAAATACTCAGTACAATATAAAGCTGAATAACCAAAGATGAGGAGAAATAACTAAAGCCAGTGTTGAAGAAGGTTTACTGCTAGCAATGGTCATGTCTGTGTCATGTGACAAATTAAAATAGCTGCAACCTGTAGTACCAGGAGTTTGTCCATAAAAGTGGGACTCCTGAGACTTCAAAGTACAGATGAATCTTCCTTTACACAAATTACTGGGAAACACCAAAGCCATTTGTTCTGGTTTTGCAAGATACAAGCGGGTGATCAAGCCTGTGCCCTTGAGCAAACCTCCACAGAGGCAGGAGGTCAGGATAGTATTAGACAGCTATTTCTCCTCATTGGTATAATAATGTGTGATGCCTGGATCACGTGAAACTGACTCAGGGAGCCTTCTGTAAATGCAGCACCATTTACAATTCAAACACATTTGCCGGCCCTTTGCAGATCATGTGCAAAAACAGGCAAAGACTGTGTTTAGTACCGTGATTCATATGCGGGTCACAATGATACTGAAATCAGTTTTCGTGATATAACTGCAAAAATGTCATGTGGACACATCACTGACTGACAACAAGTAGCTCAGCAGTGATCTTCCAAAGGAAAAGTCCTTAATGAAGCCTGTTTTCCTAATGGCTACATCTGGAAGAGGGAAAAATCTTGTTTACTTTCAACTCATCCACCTCACCTTTGTCAAAATGCCTTCTATTCTACTGCAGTTAATACATACATAGGTTTTCTTACAAAGTGGGATATCAGCAGTCCAGCTGTTTCAAACCTCATTCCATTGCTCTTTAAAGCCATTCTTTTCCATGCCTTGTGCAGGCTTGGGAGATGATACAGGAGGTACATGTCACTGAAAAAAGGATGCTTTGCTAGCAGGACAACGCTTAAGGCTTATCACATTATTATTGTTTCTGTTGCTGGTTTTGCTGGTGATGCCTTTGGCCAAGGAGACCTGCTGCTATAGCGCAATCTGCCCATTGATTGTAAACACCGCCCCGTGCACCGTACTGAGCTCAGCCCACACGCCAGCATGGAAGAGATCAATTTACTACACCATCTCGTCATGAAGGCTAAAGGGCATCAGTTGAAAACTAAAAGCCATCGCCTATGCGAGTGTGGAAAAAACAAGGTGGTTTTAATAAATCTGTGCAGTCCCGGATTTTAGGTAGTGATACCTTACACAGCGCAAGGCAGGAGGACACACAGAAATGGTGACACATGGACAATAAAATGAGGCTTAAGGAATGCAGAGCAATATAGTACTCAGCAGGCGTAACCAGGAGAAGACAGTGTGCAACAGTGAAGAATAGCCATAAGAGTGGACTAGTGTGTGTCACAGGGAGCTGGGGCCGGCTGCCCTAATCCAGTATCATTTCAATAAGAGGATTCTGTCACCTAGGTGACATCACACCCCCCAGAGCAATTCAGTGGAAACGTCCCACATTCCCTGACGAACACCGGCATGAGCTATTCTAAAGGGCCTTCCTCTGAAATAAGAACTGACTGACGTCCAAATGACTGCCTGTGGGAGCCCAGCACGGGGCTCTGTTCCCAGGTGGTGAGAATGGGACCGGAGTCAGACATGATTATCTCCCTGTGATTCTCAGTAGCAGCACTCACTGCCCTCCGCTGGTCTCTTCACCAGCGAAGGTGAAAATTAAGAGCACCATGCCAGGGGGCTGTACGTGCCTAGGACACTGTGCAGGGGTCAATTCTGAGGTGGGGGCAGGGAGGTGGGGCGCAGTCTAGATTATCAGGTCCCACGCTGGCCAGGGTGATATCTTATCTGAGAGATCCACAACTCTTTTTTCTATGGGTTTCACAAACACAAACATTAACTCAGCACACTCAAATTAAAGCAAAGACCCTGCCACCAAGCCTCCTTAAAGGTTAAACTCAGTCATAATAAAAAAGATTATTTTATTTCCTAAAGAACTAACTAATACAGTTAGAAGAGTCTTCTTTTTCTACTCGTGTGGTGCAACTACCTAGATGAATTGATAAATATAATACTTCACTTGTTGATGCATCAAATACATGCTTTCTGTTGCATTAGGTTAAGCACGTGAAAGGGAAACAAGTTGAAAATGGTACTTCTGTAAACATCAATTTCCTGTAATTACTAGAAGCTGGGAAGTCCTATGATCTGTTTGTGCTGGAATAACCTCAGACTGTTATTACAATCACATAAACAAAAGCAATTAGAAATCCGCCACATTAAAGCATAGAGTCAAAACTTTCCTTGCAGGTCCCGATTCCAGTCCACATGTCCAAGCTGAAACAGCAGAGAGTTACAAGTGCCAGGGGGTCTGCAAGCTGTGTGCAAAGACATGACCTTCCTACACGCCAGTGGTGTGTTCTACCACCCACACACACAGGTCTTGCCACGATAATGCCCAGACAGGATTTTGGTCCTGTGGGTTCGGAAGGAGGTGACGCAACACTGAGACTGACAGTGCAGGACTGGGATAATGCCGGGCGCCAGTCTGCTCCAGTGCCAGCATGATCGACCCCTCTCCTGGCTGACCCCGACACCCCAACATAGAACACACCCGGACAAACACCTGCATCGTATACCACCTCAGATGTCCCTGGGCATGCATTCCAAGAGCCTGGACTGGTCTGTGAGGTGGCACTGGACTTATCTTCAGGCATCTCTCCAAGCCAAACATGCTTTCAGACAATCCATGCTCAGGACAAATCACTGGTGATTACTGTTTGTGAACTCGTTCGTTTTCCCAATAGGATTAGGCTGATCGCAAGCCACAGCAGTCATGCTTCATTTAATTAGTAAACTGGCTCTACTTGAGCACCCTGGCGTATGTGGGGCACATTATGAGAGCTGATTGCCGAACATCAAGTGCAAAAGCAGCTCCTGTTGCTGCAGTTTGAGAAGGAATACATACAGTACATGAATGTTGTTCTTTCCACGAGAGCTCAGCTCTGGATGTGAAACAGGTTCTCTCCACATGCGGAATCTGTGAGAAGTACCTGTATACAGCTGAAGTGTGCCAGACTAGGCATACGCCTGATCTCAGCTAAGAAAAATCAGTGCTGAACTTTTACAGATGGGAGGAAACCAACACTGAGCTCTTATCTCAACCTTCATTTATAGGGTTCAGGATAAACAGTGACACAAACAACACAACACAGCATTCAGGAGATTCTGTAACAAACGTTTGCACCTAGCAAAGAAGCATTAACACTAGACTCTCATCTTCTAACTTCATGAAATGCCTTTAATCTTTGAGCTGCCAAAAGAATACAGAACTGAACAGTAATAGGAGTATTTGCTAAAAGAGCCTATTTTTCTGGGGTTTAGAATACAAAATTGGACATGTATGACAGAATCTAACACTGTCAAAACAGAAAAGTATATTATAATTATGCCCAATTAATAATATCCACCAATGTCTCTTGATTCTAGGCTAGGACATCCTTCAGTATGGAGTGTGCATGTTCTCCCCAGGTCCATGTAAGCTTTCTCTCGGTGCTCCAATGTCCTCTCAGCTTTCAAAGGCATGTGGGATACTTTAGTTGGTAGCTTTTAAATACTCCTATGTGCTTCTGAAGGTGTGCCCCTGCTACATTAGTGTCTCCAGACAGTTGACCAGCCTTGTGTCCTGTGTAATAAGGTGTTTTCAGATAGCAGATGGGCCGATGAACCTTAATTTGCCAAACGAGTGCGTTAAATCAGAGATGGGGCACATAACTACATGTGATAAAATACATGGAACCTCTCAGATGTTGGATGTTGGTTATCCTTTTAACGAAAGGGTTTCAATCTGTAGAGAATGAGTTTCGTATGTAAAGATAAACCCGCAACAATTTCAGGAGCGTTCTCAGACTGTAGAGACTACACAATAACTGCGCAGATACTGTAGCGTCTTAAGCGGCAATAATTATCAAAGACTGTGGAAAGTGAACATCTGCTGTCAGAACAATATTGGCGAAACATTTATTTCAGATATTAAAACGAGACCTTATTAGCCAGCTCTGTCCTGGGGGTCTCCGTCTGACTGACAGTTACTAGGACTGACAGTTACGGCTTCTTTCATTGCACTGGTTAAAGTTTAGCGTTTTGCTCTTCAATACCAGGCACACAGACCGTAACAAACAGAAAAAAAATGTTAAATAGTATCAGGGAGGAGAAACTGGACGATTCACAGGAAATTAGCAGGAATTGCAGACTTAATACGTTCCGGCTTATTATCAAACGAAGATAAAGGCATTCTAAGTTTTGACAACCAATGTATTTGACGGATAAACGTTTTTCTAGAATGTTCTTACCTTTGTTGACGGAGTGCGCTTTGTAGGACCCGCAGCTGCTTCGCGGGTTGGGCGAACAGCGAACAACAAAGTTTCTTTCCCTGGAAGACGCGACAGACGTTTTCAACCTGGACTGCGAGTTGCCGAACCTGTGGCTCGGCACCGGACGGGGTGCGTCAGCCGAGGGGTCCGGAGACAGGGGCTCTGTCGCCGGGCACAGAACAGGATCCGTGCCAGTGCCGACTTGATGTCCCCTCATTTCTCCTAAATGCAAATCCGATTCTTCACAGCGGCTGCCCGGCAGATAAGGACAAATTCCTTTCGCCGCCAAAAAAAAACTGCTTTCGTACAATTACTTGTCCCTAAAAATCAGAAAGTAAGAAAAATGGGATACGCAAAGCACGTATGTCAAACCAAAACTCCAAGGGCTGTAACTCCACACGCCTACTCTCCTTTTGCACGAGTAGTTTTCTAGCAAGACCGAAAATGATAAGAGGCAAGCAAAACGTCTGAAATTTGTTGCAATGAAATATATCCTAGACCGTTTCACTGTACACTACCAGAATATCTGCACCGCACATCCCCTCTACCGTGAAGGTGTAAGTGAATGGGCAGAAGTGGCCACGGCTTACTACGCGATTATTCGCGGCGGCGGTGACATGAGCTGCTGGGCGGGTCTGAGGCTCACAGCACGTGTACTCCGTGTCCGGGCTAAATGCGTACAGTGTTGCTGTACAAGGGCTTTAAAAGATGAGGTCGAAGACCGGCGCTCGCAGATTTGTAAAAGGCGCCCCTGTGCTGAACTCACCACCTCGTCCGCGGATGCAAAGCGCTTGTAAAAGAGTATCCTTCGCAAAGGTTGTTGTATTTTGGCGATGCTTTCGAGGAGCTGCAAAAAAAAACTTCAAAGGATACAGAATAGTTTCGCAGCTCGCAAGGGGAAAACTACACGACTTGGCCGTGATTTGGGAAAAGAAGTTGGACAATATGTAATGTCATATACTTCCGATTATTCACTGTGTCATATTTTGGAGGGCGGATAACTGAGAAAGGTCTTCACAAATTTCGTGCCCCCTTGGTATCCACAAGGCAGACCGTGAGACCTGGCCTTCATTGTCACCCAGCCCTTCGCCGGCGAATGAGGTCGTGGCCTTCTCGCCTTTGGTATTTTGAATACAACAACCCACAAAGAAATCAGTTTACAGCGTATGCACTGTAGCTCTAATGCTGTTAGGTGGGTTATAGAAATCGCTCTGCAGGTTGTTTCTGCTTTAACACCAAGATTCACCTGTCGGTGTCAGACTGTCACTAACGTCTTATTGAAGCAATTGAAAGCAGAATTGCAATGATCTGCTTTGTCGTAAAATAAATAAAATAAATATGATTTCATTTTAAAAATTGACTTCATATCGCTTAATATACTGTGCTGGCGGTGGTGTCAAGTCAGTGACACGGTTGCTTTGATCATTTTCGTACTGTAAACTACCATAACATGATAGCACTTGCAGTAATACCTATTACTAAACCTCACATTGACTTTGATAAGTTTAGCCCTTTATCTGAGACCGCAGTCTTTCCCCCTTGTAAAACTGTCTCGTGTAAATAAAATCATTAATAAAAGATGTGCGCACAATTCGTGTCAGTGCAATTTGTTTGGTTTTACAATATTTTCTCCCACTCCATTTTTGTTTTCGTGTTAAGCCAAGCGTGTGCGCTCGGTCCGCTCCCCAGTATATTATTTTTTTAAAAACGTCGCGCTGACGCAAGGTTATGTCAACATTGATCCTGTAACAGGTCAATGAGAGTAAAGTACAGCACGACTCGGCTCGCAGTTCGCTAAGGGCCTGCACGTCTGCCACCAGCCGGGGGTGAGCTTGGCGAAGACACTCCAGCAAGATCAATAACATCACAAGACGCGTCTGGACGGTCTGTACTCATACGCAGAAAGATGATTGGCCGGCGCTGGGCAGTTCGCTGCAGAACGTGTGTCAAGTCACGTCGGCTAGCGCTGCGCAAGCTCGAGGTTTCAAGGCGACGCCACATGTGCAAAAAACACATCAACGAGAAGAAACGAGAGTGCACATCAAAGAAGCAGGCCTTCGCATGCATATAAGGTGGAGTTGTCTGGAGGTTGTGTCTTGGGCGGCTTAAGCAATGAAATCGAACCGCGATCGCATTGAGCTTTGAATCTATAGCAGGCAAGGGATTGAAGAACCTAGCGTTTCAACATGCTGACCACCGGGTAAACCTAGTGTCTTTAAGATCACTGTTTTCAGAAGCCTGCTGATTTCTAGTTTACACCTGCTGTCTCCACATGGACACTTTGTTGTTCCACATTACCACCACTGTGTAGTCCCACCTGGATGATGCAACAG